GCGGCGGTCCTGGCCAGCGCCATATCTGCCTGCGGCTGCGCCCCCTGTCCTTACTAACCCCAAAGCCCCAGCCCACCCGTTCCGCCGCCACACGACCGGGAAGGAGAAGGTTAGAGGAGATACCTGAGGGAATGAGAAGGGAGGGAGGGGACGGTGACCGCGGTCCACTCTCGCCAGAGCCCCCTGCTCATGCGACCCTTCACAGACGTCCCTGCTCCTCCTCCTCCTCCTCCTCCTCCTTTTCATTCTCAATCTCCTGCTCATGCTCCTTCCACTTCTCCCTGTCCTCCTCCTCTGCCCTCTCCTTCTCCTGTTCATCCCGAGTTCCGCAATGAGCGCCATGGGTGCCCGCCACCCCCGCCCACAGCGCCGAGTCGACGCTTGTCGCGGATAATAGCCCTGCGCTGAAGGCGCTTCCAAAGTACGGCGCTGTGTACCGACGAGGCCAGGTTGAACCCCGTCGGAGGAGGAGACTCAGGGGCAAAGTTAGAGGGGATGGGCTCCGGGGGGATGTACCGACCCTCAAGCGCTCATTCCTCGCCGACAGGGGCCCGATAGCCCACCCCGCCCAGGAACGTGCGGAATCGCAATCGGGGGCTCATCGCCGACCTGTCGGCGAGGTATCGTCGTGTCCAGCTCGATATTTCCTCCCCTGCGCCGTTTCCCCCCCTGACCCTCCTTCTCAAGGACCTCCCGCGCTTCTCACCGAACGCACGGTGGGTTCGGGGCTGGCCGAGCGCACGCTGGAGGGGCGCAGCTCAACCGAGCCGCTGTCCGCCGGCGGCGGACCAGCGCGCGCGCCGAGCCAGCGGGCAGCCGGTGCTGGCAAGGGCACGACGCGGAGCCAGCGGGCGTCAGCTGGACGGTGCCGCGCAGACGTGGCGAAGGCGGCGGTAGAGGGGGCCGCGGTTGCAGAGCGGCTGGCGGCCGGCGGCGGCCGGCGGCGGCGCGCGGCTGGCGGCGGCCGGCGGCGCCGCGGTCGAGAGACGGACCTCTTCTGGTCCCGTGCGGGCGCGCTGCCGCGGTGGCAGCCGGGCGGGGCGCGGTAGAAGAAGGCGGCAAGAGAAGGCCTCTGCGGGCCGCCGTTGGGCGAGGCCGCGCTGGGCGCCCTCATCGACACGTTCCTCCGCCGCCTCGGGGCGGGCGCTTGCGCGGCGGGAGGGGCCCGACCAGCAGCGCCTGGAGCTTCTGGATGCGCTGTGCAGGTGAACAGCGGGTAGGGCGACGTGCGTCTCTCAGGTGCGGCTACGGAGTGCGACCTTGGGCCGTGCGGGGAACGGATGTGCGCTTGGCGTAGGTTTCGCCCGCGGTCTCTGCGGCGGAGGTGGGCTTCGGAGGAGGTCAGGCTCAACAGCAGTACAGCTCATGCCCGTGCAACGTAAAACGAAAATGAGGAGGACGAGGAGGAGGAGGAGAAGGAAGAGGATGATGAGGAGGAGGAGGAGAAAGAGGAGGATGAGGAGGGCGAAGGAGGAGGAGGAGGAGGATGAGGAGGAGGAGGAGGAGGACAAGCAAGAGTAGGAGTCGACGTTATAGCTTGTTCGCATCCGATGCGTGTTCAGTTCAGTTCAGGGGGGGCGGGGAGGCGGAGGAAGTAGGAATAACAATCTTACGAGTAATAACAAGAGGAGGAAGAAGAGGAGGGGGCCTCCTCATCCTCCTCCCTCTCCTCCCTCTCCTCCCCTTGTCACTCCCCTCCCTCTTTGTCCTGCTGCTGCTGCCCCTCACCCTCCCAACCGCCAAGCCACGACGTAGTCGCGGCGGTGCCCAGCCCGTAGAAGAGACGTGTCTGGGGCCGGGCGCCTGAGAACTGCAGAGGGGGACAGGACGGGCACGGGGTGCGCCCAATGGTTTTTTTCTTAGGCTCAACGCTGGTGTACAGTGCGCAGCGTGCTGCTAGCACGGCTCTCTATGGGGCCTCTGAGGCAAATGGCTGCAGAGGTGGGGAAGCGTTGCTGCAAACCCGTCTCTCCCGCCAGTGCTAAACTGTGCATGCAGCTATGTTGCCAGAAATGGAATTCATACCGGTCTTGACATGATGCTCGAATGCATCACTCGATGCTCAAAGACTCGGGGCGGACAAATGATGCCACCCTCCGCATTGCTTAGATTGAACATCACACGTATTTTATGGCTACCGGTGGTGCGCCCTTCAGGGTTCCGCCAGCCCCGTGGAGGAGGAGGAGGAGGAGCAGGAGGACGAGGAGGAGGAGGGGGAGGAGGAGGAAGAGTTGAGCAGAGTACAATGAGTGAGCGTCAGCGGCTGTACATACGCATCCGCCCGTCCCAAGTCCCCTCCTCACTAGTCCCATAAGTGCATCTCTCTTCGCTACGGGACGTGCCCCTTCAAACATCAGCAGCGCCCCATGGTCCTGCCACTCAGGCGAGAGCCCCGTTTTGAAAAAGAACTGGCGTTTTTTTCCGCCGTGCAGGCTGTCAGCACGTAGGAACACACATTTCAAAAAGTGTCCAGCGATGTCCCCGCGTTGGAAATGAGCCGCCCAACATCGTGTAGCTGTTGCACAATTTGACATCTCTGGTTGCAGCCACTGGTGTATTGTAAACGCGATAGCCCGTTCATGAAAAGGGGGTGCCCTCCATCCGTGCAGCACTTGACAGCATGCTACTGCAGGTCACACGCGCACACGGGGAGGAAGCATCAAGCGAGAGCTTGGTCTGAAAACGGACTTCTTTCCATCTGCGCAGCTGGCGGAGGCTTTTAAGACTGATGTGCGCGGCGCTTAGGCGATAGCCGCATAGCGAAAACCATCCGCCTTCACCTGTACCCGGATCTAAGTGTGCGGAGCTTAGGCGAGAGCGCATTTCGGAATCGTCCGTGCATCGGTCGGGAACTTCAAGCTTCAGAATCGGAAGCGGTGGGGAAGTCTCAGGCGAATCGCCCAGCCCGCCCTATACCGACGCGGCTGGTGGTACGACGAGGAGGAGGTATCGATAAGGTCGGGCGAAGAGAACTATGCACATGCACCGGTCCTGGCCAGGCCCATCCTTGGCCCCAGGATCGGTGCATATGACTTCCTGGCCAAGGCAGGAGGGCGTATGCACCGATCTTGGGCTCAGGATGGACCTGGCCAAAATCGGTGTATGTGCATGGTTCTTTTTCCTCTATAAGGACGAGGAGATGGAGTGCTCCCTCCTCTGCACGACCCCCCAGCCCGTGCCCCCCTGGTTGACCGCAAGGTGATGCGGAAGTACGGCCTTGTGCAATACCGCCGCTTCCTCAGCGCCTTCAAGGCGTGGCGCCAGTGGCGCCAGCGGGGGTAGCGGGCGAAGGTCAGGGAAGCGGTATTGGGTTGGGGCTGTGAAGATCAGGCCGAGGCGCGACGCGTTCTGTTCCAGAGATCCTGGCTCCTCCTCGTTTTCCCGTATCCTCCGCGTCCCTGGCTCCTCCTCGTTGTCCCAGGGCCGCAGACTTTCTCTCTTCCCGTATCCTTCTCCTGGTCCTCTTCCCTCTCGTTCCTCTCCTCATCCTCTTCGCCTCCTTCAGCCTCCTCATCCAAGCAACTCTTACGGGCATCGTTTCTGGATGGGCTGGTGGGGATGAGCGAAGCATCAATAATCATTTACAGAAATGGGTTTCCCTGCCTGGGCCTCCACAGCAGATCACCAGAGGTCCCGGGCGGCGCCGTGATCTAGTTTTCGACAGCAGTCGGGAGCACCGCAGCCAGGGTGAAACGTCGATGCCGTTAGTGTGTCCCTTCCGTCTTCGGGTCCCCGGGCCTGCGAAAGTTCGACACTGACTGGAAACAATGGTCGCTGGAGTGGAGTTGAGAGATCTGGGGGGCCGATGCCAAAGACAACGTAATGACCGTGGACGCCTGGGAAGGGGCTGGGAGGATGGGGAGGAGGGTCGAAGAGGGGAAGGGAGGGGAGGTGGGGAAGGATGATGATGACGCTGATGATGATGATGATGATGATGATGATGATGATGATGATGCTGATGATGCTGATGATGATGCTGATGATGATGCTGATGATGATGATGATGATGATGATGAGGAGGAGGAGGAGGAGGAGGAGGAGGAGGAGGATAGAGAGGGGCACAAGCAGATGTGGAGTGCCAATCATGCTGACAGTCTGCTCTCCCCTCTTGGTTGTGGGACAGACTACAAGTAGAAGAGGGGAGAGAATTTGTTCCCAATCATCCTGTGTCAAGAAGGTCCTCGTTTTGAAGAGACAGCGCCCCGCGTTCCTTATTCCTCACTCCTCCTTCCCCTCCTCCCTCTTCCCGTCCCTGCCTCTGTCCATGTCGGCACACCCCTTACACGTTTCGTGGCCTCACAGCGAGGTCCACGGAGTGCCTCCGTGGCGCAGTTCGCATGTGGGCGTCACGCCTGTTTCGGCACACCCTTCGCGCGTTTTGTGGCCTTATAGAGAGCCCCACCTACTGCCCCAGTGGCGCAGTTCGCTTGCGGGCGTGGCGCCCGTTTCGGCACACCCCTTACACGTTTCATGATCCCGTAGAGAGCTCAACCAAGTGCTTTCGTGGCGCAGTTTGCATGTGGGCGTCACGCCCGTTTCGGCACATTCCTCACTCGTTCCGTGGCCCCATAGGGAGCTCCACCTACGGCCGCCGTGGCGCAATTTGCATGCGGGCGTGGCGCCCGTTTCGGTACACCACTCGCGCGTTTCGTGGCCTCATAGGGAGGTCCACCGAGAACCTCCATGGCGCAGTTCGCATGTGGGTGTCACGCCCGTTTCGGCACACCCTTCACGCGTTTCGTGGCACCATAGGGAGCTCCACCTAAGGCCCCAGTGGCAACGTTCGCTCGCGGGCGTCGCGCCCGTTTCGGCACGCCCCTCACATGTTTCCGTGGCCCCATATGGAGCTTCACTTACGGCCCCAGTGGCGGTGTTCGCATGTGGGCGTCACGCCCGTTTCGGCACCGAGGATCCCAGTGCCCGCCAAGCGAAGGCGCATCCTTTTCTCTCTCTCTCTCTCTCTCCCTCAGGCTTCATCTCTCCATCTCTCCTGCTCCTTCTCCCTGGTCACCCATCCCTTTCTTTGTCCTCCCCCTGTCACATTTGGGTCACCCACCCGCGCTGCATGCATGTGACTCATGCTTCTGCAACTATCTCCACCTTCTTCCTCCTCTGTCCCCTGGGTGCCAGCCCACCTCACGACTTCGTCTGGCACGGCATGGTGCAGCATAGTTCATTCGACGCACCATCATCGTGACATTGGAGTGGGGACAGGATCCGAGGCGCATGAACCGACACCTGTACCGAACGCTTGAACTGGCAGAGGTGGCCGTGAAGACATGTGTCGAACGCACACCAACTACCATGTCAGGTGTAATCGGAAGGTACGTTGTACCACTCCATTACCACTCCATACAAGGTGGGACTCCCCGGCCTTCACCAGGACCGGCTTACAAGGACAGGTGAGCCCACGTGCCCCGCCCGATACATCAAGGATAGTGCCTACCCTTAGGGGCATCTGCCCTGCACCACAATCCCCCTCGGTCTCCGTCTCCGTCTCCTCCTCCTCCGCCTCCTCCTCGCTCCTCTTTCCCTTCCCTCGTCGGGCAGGCCCTGGGCCTCTGCTCCGTGGTGGAGAAGGAGATCTTCGTCGTCCACGGAGGCCCCGCCCCGAGGGAAACTGAGCAGCAAGGACCCACCAGCGGCGCGGGGAGGTTCGAGGCCGAGCGGTGTCTTCCTCGTCCTTCTCATCTCCCTCCTCTTCCTCCTCCTCCTCCTCCTCCTCCTCCTCCTCCTCCCTCTCTTCCTCTTCCTCTTCCTCCTCCTCTTCCTCCTCTTCCTCCTCCTCCTCCTCCTCCTCCTCCTCCTTCGTTCCCTCTCCATTTTCCTCCGTGCTCTTCCTTCTCCTCCTCCTCCTCCCCTTCTCCTCCTCCTCCTCCTCCTCCTCCTTCTTCTCCTTCTCCTGCTCCTTCTCCTTCTCGTTCTCCTTCTTTTCCTCCCTCCTTCCTTCTCCCTCCTTTCTCCTCCCTGCTTTCCTCTTTTCTCCTCCCTACTTCCTCCCCCTCCACCTGCTCCTCCACCTCCTCTCCTGTTCCTTTTCCTCCTCCTTTCCCCTCCTTCTCGTCTTCCTCCTTCTCCTCCTCCTCCACCTCCTCCTCTTCCCCTTCCTTCTCCGTCCTCCACCTCCTCCTTCTCTCTCCTCCTCCTCTTCGTCTTACCCATCCTGCCCTCTCCTCCTCTTCGGGGACGCTCGGCCTCCCTTCTCCTCCTCCTCCTCCTCCTCCTCCTCCTCCTCCTCCTCCTCCTCCTCCTCCTCCTCCCCCTCCTCTTTCTCCTCCTTCTCCTCCTTCTCGTCCTGCTCCGCTTGGCCTCTCTTCCTCCTCCTCTTCCTCTTGTGAGGACGAGGGATTCTTGGGAGTTCTAGGAAGGTTTCGCGGATTCTCGCAGGCCCTAGGGGCCTCCGGGAGGAAGAGGATGAGACGGAGGATGAGGAAGAGGAGGAGGAGGAGGCGGAGGAGGAGGAGGAGGAGAAGGGGAGGAGGGCAAGGGAAGAGCGGGGGAGGGGATGGGAGGGGAAGAAACGCGAAAAGGGGGAGGCGTGTCAGACTAGAGGCTCTTTCTCTGCTCCTCTTCCCTCTCCTTTCCTCTCTCTCGCTCCCTCCCTTCCCACTCTGTCCCTCTCCCCCTCACCCCCTTCCCCGCTCCACCTCTCCCCCAAGCTCTCTGTCTCTGTCCCTGTTCCGGTCTCTGTCGCTGCCTCTGCCGCTGCCTGCCTGCCGGCCTGCTATCCTGCCTCTCCCGCTCGGCCGCGCTCCCTCCGCCGCAGGCCTCACGCGGGTGAAGTCTCTCTCGATAGACTACATCAACTCCATAGGCACCCCGCGGGCCGCTCGGCGGCGAAATCCGAATACTTCCCTCTCCGATCAACGATTCAGGCAACTCGATGGGCGGCATGCCTAGGGTTCGGAAGGCGTCGATTGTTTTCGTCGGCGGCGAGGCAGAGTTGGCTGCACCAGCGAGGAGCCAGACGGGGGTGCCGTAAAGCGAATTAGCCAGCTTGCACGAGGGGAAAGCGGGGAGGCGAAGCGGCCGCGGAGGAGGGGGGGCGAGGAGGCCGCTTAGGGGCGGACGGGTCTGCACCTGAGCATGCTGGCGCGGCCAGCCCCGCCGGCGGGGACCATGGAAGTCGTCGAACACAACGAAATACGAACCCTGCCCCCGCCCCCATCGATTCAGGATAATCGATTGTTGGCGGGGGTAGGGTTCGGCTGTCACCACCCAGCCGCGGAGCGGGCGCTGGCTTACCGCGCGCATGGTGGCGCGCGGCAGGGGCGACTGGGCGGGGGCGTGGTAGGGCTTTGGCGGCGCGCCCAGGGGGGACGTTTAAGAGTTTCGGGTTCGCTGTTCGAGGTTTTCGGGGATTTTCGGTGGTCCTCGCCGGTCTTCCAGCCTCGGGATGCGTTCCAGCGGCAGCGCCTCGTCGAGAGGCCTCCCCGGGTGGCTGGATCGTCCCGAACCGCCCCCAGAGACCCGAGCAGTGACCCGAAAGCCAGACGACGAGACGATGATCATCGAGGGGGCCAGCCTTGTCAGACGGCGGCGGGGCTTCGCAGAAGCCCTCCCACCCTCCGAGAGGCCTATGTTGCGGCTTCGGAGGGGGCTTGGGAGGCTTTTTGGGAGTCGTGGGGGCTTCTGAGAAGCCCCGCCGCCTTCTGAGGAGGCCGGCCCCCTCTGCATTCCCCCCAGGGTGCGCCGCCCAGGAACTGTTGCAGTTTTTCATGGGCGCGCCATGATCCTGGCTTACCGCAGAGTCCCCGTCTGGGGGACCCTGAGGGAGGGGCCCGTGCCTCCAGAGGATCCCGTGCCGCCAACGTCCTGATGGGAATGCTAAGGCGTGTCTTTTCGCCGCTTTCGGCCTTGGGGATCGTGAAGCAGCGTCTCAGGATGACAAGCCGGTAGCCGAGAGGGAGGGGGTCAAGAGCTCGTGTGGGGCCCGCGCGGCTCGAGGTCGGCCAAGAGGGGGGTGATGACTGGGGGGGCATGTCACGGCCAGGGCTATGGTACTGATAGGATCATCCTACGGGTGATAAGGAGGTTTTTCGGGGGGGGGGGTAGGGGAAGGCGGTCGATTTGCGATGGCTCTGGGTTCTTTTGCGGTTTCTTCCACCTTCCTATTGTCGCACACATCTGCCCATTTATCGATCGGCACATCGATCGCATTGTCTATGCAGGACACTCAGGTGAGTGTATATCTATAGAGATATGTGTGGAGATGTCTGGCTATCTGTCTATGTACCTACATATATACATACACATATTTGTATATATATATATATATATATATATATATGTATATATACATATATATATATATATATATATATATATATAGCTCGCCCCCCCCCCCAGCGCACCCCAAACCACCCACGACCACAAATCCATCATTGATCGTTTGCTCCTGCTGCTGCTCCTCCTCCTCCTCCTCCTCTTCCTCCTTTCCCTCCTCCTGCTTCTCTGCTTCTTCCTCTGTTTCCTCTCTTTTCTTTCTCCTCCTCCTCTCATCCTCCTCCTGCTGCTCCTCCTCCTCCTCCTTATGAGAAGCCTTACAAAGGGGGCTGCTCTCTGAGGAAACCATATGAAAACACAGATATTCCTGATATGTTTGAATGCTTTGGCAAGGAAACCATATGAAAACACAGATATTCCTGATATTTTTGATGGTTTTCGTTAGGAAACCTGGTGAAAACACAGATATTCCTGATATTTGTTGGTTTTCTGGAAAAGGGCGCCCCTCCCCCTGCTCCCTCCCCAGGTCCACGCCCCTCAGGGACAATGCGCCAGGCAGGAACACCTGTGAAAACACAACTATTCCTAATATTTTGAAAGGTTGTCGCACAGAAACCTTGTGAAAACACAGATATTATTGATTTGTTTTTGGTTTCTGTAAGGAAACCATATGAAAACACAGATATTCCTGATATTTTTGGTGGTTTTCGTTAGGAAACCATGTGAAAAAACAGATATTCCTGATACTTTGTGGTTTTCTTGATGCGGGCGCGCTGCAAAGGCTGGTGGCGCAAGAGGAAGAGGGGCGCCCGTCTCCAGAAAACCACAAAATATAAGGAATATCTGTGTTTTCAAAGGGTTTCCTAACGAAAACCATTAAACATATCAGGAATATCTTTGTTTTTCACAGGGTTTCCTTATGAAAACCGTCAAATATATCAAGAATATCTGTGTTTTTATATGGTTTTCTGGTCAAAAACTTCAAACATATCAAAATTACCTGCGTTTTCATACGAGTTCCCTTACGAAAACGATTAAAACTATCAGGCGCGTGTGTGTGTGTGTGTGTGTGTGTGTGTGTGTGTGTGTGTGTGTGTGTGTGTGTGCGTGCGTGCGTGCGTGTGTGTGTATGTGTGTATGTGTGTGTGTGTGCGTGTGTGTGTGTGTGCGTGTGTGTGCGTGTGTGTGTTACAAGGCTTCCTCACGACAGCGGCCGCAGCATGGACGGGACTTGTGTTTTCACAAGGTGTCCTTACCAACGCCTTATGGACCCTCTGTGTCTAGCTTTGGGCAGCAGACCTTGCTCAGCCGATCGGGAGACGTGGGCAGCAAACGGTGAGGAAAGGAAGAACCCAGTGGTGCTACTGGAACAAGGGCGAGGACCTGTGGGCGCAGACGGGCAATATGCTTACCGCTCTGTTCCAGCAGCAGCACGAGTGAGCGAGCCCATCTGCCGCTGCAGAGGCACTGCATACCTCCGTCTCAAATGCCACCTACCCTGGCCCCGCACTGCTTCCCGCACGGCGAAATGTTGGGCCAGCGCAGCGAGAGTGCCCAAGCGATATGTGTGCGGACGTGCATATTGGTTCTGAGGTTCGAGAAAAACTACGTAGTCTGCCCGCATGGAAAGTCCGCCCGCAAGGGTATGATCAGGAGCAGCCGTCGCCGTCGTCGCGTCGTCGTCGTTGATTCAGCCCCCGCCCCCCTGCGGTTACCCCCGCCCCCGCTGTGTCCTGCCGCCGCTATTGATCAGGCTTGCACAGGGTGTCCGAATACATTCGCACGCGCGCAAGCCCCTGGTATATCTCTGCTCATGACCAACCTCCCCGCCCTCGGAATGAAGTCCCTGAGGGCGCACTTGGAGGTCGAGGGGGCGGACAGCGAGAAGATCCAGCAGGTATTCGAAAAGGTCCGCGGCCACGGCTCGGCCGTCCCGATGTACCAGACGGCGTTGCACCCAGAGGAATTCCAGGACGATCCCCCAGCTCTCTACTCTGTAGGGGATCTCCCCCTCATGCCGTCTGAAGGTTGCAAGAAGATGAAGCATGCCTTTGCCGTTGTCTTGAACTACCAGGGGGACATCGACATGGCCGCGGTGCGGGAGGCCATGGCGGTCAACGACTACAATGGTCTGCCAGAGCTATTGCGCCCCAGAACAAACTGGGAAGCCCTTTACACGATGCAGTTGGCACTGGTGCCCGCTGGCGACGGCGACGGGACAGACACCATCAAGTACTTTCTGTTCTCGGGCCCGCAGCAGTTGGTCGACGTCGAGAACCGCCTCCTGCGTGATAATGAAGTGTTGTACACGCTATCTTGGGGCAAGGGAGCGGACGTCAAGACGCCGTGGAAAGTCTTGGTCTACATGATGGATCGGCTCGGTGGCGCGCACTCCCGTTACCACCTACCCCCGCAGGAGAAGGGCGAAAAGGATAAGAAGACGTGCCTTCCCCAGGACATCATCGTATCCCAGTACCAGTTCGTTAAGGACAACGCCCCGCGCGGCAACTTCGATTGCGAACAGATGATGTGGATCGACTTCCAGCTGAACGACCCGCAGAGCCCCATCCACAGCTGGAAAGAGGGGAAGATTAAGGAGGTTCTCTCGCACATTAAGGACCAGGGCATTCAGGCGAGAAAGATCACGTACCACCCCATCTTCATCTTCGACACAGGGGGCGAGGGCGTCGAGCGCGCGAAGCGCATCGTGCCTACTTTCAAGAGCCACTCCTGCCTCATGGTCGGCGAGCCTGGCGAGGGGAAGACGCCGTGCCTGGAGACGCTGGCATTCGCCATGGGCGACTACTACGCAGACAAGCTGGGGGGCCGCGGCTTGGCCTCGTTCAGAGAGGGGCCAGGCCTGGATTTCTTCAGGGCCGAAGAGGGCACGAAGCACTGCCCGTGCGTCTTTGATGACGGCGACTTGTTCGAGCAGCGCCCGAAGACGTTGAAGGCTTTCTTGGGCGTCGGCCAGTTCCAGGCGATGACGAGGGAGCGGTGGGGGGCTGCCGAGTTCGTTCGGGGTCAGGCGCGATTCGCCGCGGAGAACATGTACGGCTGTCCCCACCATGGACGCGTGGCGCGGTCTGTGCATCTTGTCGCCAGCTGAGGCCAGGCAGAAGCGAAACCAGTACTTCTTCGACATGCTCAAGCGCACGTTCCCCAAGGACATGTCCAAAGCGAACGTCATGGCCCTCTTGAAGCGGTCCTCCGCGGTCGTGAACACCCCCAATGACGCGTTCGAGCGCTTGGCGGGTTTGGACTCGGACGTGACGAGGGCCCCGAAGGTTGGCCACTACATTACCAAGGCAGCGGGGAATATTCTCTACGACTACATCCACAACGGCGTGATGCGGGACGCCGAGGAATACAACTCGCTGAGGGACAAGCAGCTCCGCTTCATGAAGGCGCTGCTGGACAAGGGTTCCGTGCCCCTGCCTCTCTCGGTCAAGGATGAGCAGCCGCCTGACGGCGCCGAGGGCGGCAGTAGTTCGTCGGCGGCCCGCGAGCCCCTCCCGCCCTTGCCCGAGCGCATCTGCTGGGCGAGGTCGTTCGGGAGCATCCCGGAGGTCGAGATCGACCTCTCGAGCTCGCCCGAAGAGGCCCGCGGCGCCGCCGCCGCGCCCAGTAGCCAGGACCTCGCCGCTGCGCTCGCCGATGCAGACAACGGCGATCCGCTCGGCCTGGGCGGCGGAATGAATGCCGATGCGTCGGAATGAGCGGGCGGCCGCTTCGGCGGGGGGCAGCCAGCGGCCAACGCTGCCCCTCGATATTATAAATGCTGATCGATTGTACACTGGCTGCCCCGACTATGCCAAAGACGAGGGAGTCGCAGCATCAACCACAAACGCTACCTTCCAGAAAACGTTGTCGCCACGTCGTCGTCACCCTCATATTCTTTGTGAACTTGTTCTTCCTTTCCTCACCGTTTGCTGCCCACGTCTCCCGATCGGCTGAGCAAGGTCTGCTGCCCAAAGCTAGACACAGAGGGTCCATAAGGCGTTGGTAAGGACACCTTGTGAAAACGCAAGTCCCGTCCATGCTGCGGCCGCTGTCGTGAGGAAGCCTTGTAACACACACGCGCACACACACGCGCACACACACGCGCACACACGCACACACATACACACATACACACGCACGCACGCACACACACACACACGCGCCTGATAGTTTTAATCGTTTTCGTAAGGGAACTCTTATGAAAACGCAGGTATTCTTGATATGTTTGAAGTTTTTGACAAGAAAACCATATACAAACACAGATATTCTTGATATTTTTGATGGTTTTCATAAGGAAACCATGGTTTTCATAAGGAAACCATGTGAAAACACAGATATTCCTGATATTTTTTAATGGTTTTCGTTAGGAAACCTTGTGAAAACACAGATATTCCTGATATTTTGTGGTTTTCTGAAGACGGGCGCACCTCTTCCTCTTGCGCCACCAGCCTTTGCAGCGCGCCCGTATCAAGAAAACCACAAAATATAAGGATTTTTTTTTTTTTTTTTTTTTTTTTTTTTTTTTTTTTTTTTTTTTTTTTTTTTTTTTTTTTTTTTTTTTTTTTTTTTTTTTTTTTTTTTTTTTTTTTTTTTTTTTTTTTTTTCACAGGGTTTCCTAACGAAAACCACCAAACATATCAGGCATATCTGTGTTTTCATATGGTTTCCTTACAGAAACCAAGAAATATCAATAATATCTGTGTTTTCACAAGGTTTCTGTGCGACAACCTTTCAACATATTAGGAATAGTTGTGTTTTCACAGGTGTTCCTGCCTGGCGCATTGTCCCCGAGGGGCGTGGACCTGGGGAGGGAGCAGGGGGAGGGGCGCCCTTTTCCAGAAAACCAACAAATATCAGGAATATCTGTGTTTTTCACAGGGTTTCCTAACGAAAACCATCAAACATATCAGGAATATATGTGTTTTCATATGGTTTCCTTGCCAAAGCATTCAAACATATCAGGAATATCTGTGTTTTCATATGGTTTCCTCAGAGAGCAGCCCCTTTTGTAAGGCTTCTCATAAGGAGGAGGAGGAGGAGCAGCAGGAGGAGGATGAGAGGAGGAGGAGAAAGAAAAGAGAGGAAACAAAGGAATAAACAGAGAAGCAGGAGGAGGGAAAGGAGGAAGAGGAGGAGGAGGAGGAGGAGGAGCAGCAGCAGGAGCAAACGATCAATGATGGATTTGTGGTCGTGGGTGGTTTGGGGTGCGCTGGGGGGGGGGGGCGAACCATATTATATATATATATATATATATATATATATATATATATATCTCTGTATATATCAGTATATCAATCAATCTGGCACGCTGGCACCGCTTGTTACTTATCACGATTGTGACATGAGCGAAGCGATGTGACATGCTGGTTTTCGCTACATGCTGGTGCACCATGGCGCGATGCCAGCGTCACTTGGTGGCATGCAGTGTATGTATCTATCTACCTACGTATCTACCTGCATACATACATATATGTGTATATCTATATCTCTGCCTATCTATCCATACATGTATCCATCTATGGATCCTCAGGATAAACATCAGGACAAGGATCCAGACACTCATTGGGATAACCATCGGGCCAACCATGAGGACAACCACCAGGACAGCCATCGGAACAACCATCGGGGCAACCATCGGGACAGCCATCGGGACAATCATCGGGACAACAATCGGGGCAACCATCGGGACAACCATCGGGACAACCATCGGGACAACCATCGGGACAACCGTCGGGACAACCATCGGCACAACCATCGGCACAACCATCGGCACAACCATCGGGACAACCACCGCGACAATCATCGGCGCAACCATCGGGACAACCACCGGGACAACCACCGGGACAACCACCGGGACAACCACCGGGACAACCACCGGGACAACCATCGGGACAACCATCGGGACAACCATCGGCACAACCATCGGCGCAACCATCGGGACAACCGCCCTGACAACCATCGGGACAACCATCGGGACAACCATCGGGACAACCATCGGGACAACCGCCGGGTCAACCGCCGCGACACGAATCGAAACCGAAACCGATTTCCCGATTGGGGTCACTTGTGTTCACACCCCCCAACCTCCGATCTCCCTAGATCTCATGGCCTCCTCTTGCCCTGCCAGTCCTCCGTCCGTTTCGTAACAATGGCAGTGCCTATAGGCCTCTCGATGGCCATCGGATTTTGTCTTGCTTCCTGAGTGCGCAGGACACTCCAAGGGGAGTCCAGGCTTCATGCAGCCGTCAGTCGTCCCAAACTCAACGTGCGTTGTGGACCAAAATGTATGAAAGATGTGCCCCAATCGTCCGCGCGCGTGCCTCGGGCCATGATTTGCGACCCCCCCTCTTGGACCCCCTCCCTCTTGGCCGTCGCTGGGCGGAGGGGATGAGAAGGGGGCAGATATCGGAGGCGTTGGAGGCCAGGAGGGGCAGGGCTTCGTCCTCCTCGCCCTCGTCGTTCCCGCCGCTCTGTGGCCTTCGGGGACCCTTCTAGTCGTTAGGGCCTGGCGCAACTCGAAGAGCTTGCCAGTCTGGGCAGAGTTTTTTTTGTGGTGCGTGGGGGGTGTTCTAGTCGGTTAGTTCGTTAGTTTGTTTGTATGTTTGTTAGAGTCGCGTTTTTCCAATTAAAATGCTCCTCCCTGGGCTCCCACCATGTCTTTTAACAAGGAAAGTCTGGGGTCTCCAAATTATGTTGTTGGCACAAGATTTGCAACAACAGCGGCTCCCGCCTGAGAGATCCTCACAATTTATACCACAATCCCGCTTTCGTGCGGGACTTCCTTACAAATTATGCAGGAAGCGCGCTCTCGCGTGGGACTTACTGGTAATTTATTCACACGCCGCGCCCTCGAAGCTCAGGAACCGCGCTCTCGATTTTGTTTGTTGTCATGATTTATGTTGGAATCGCGCTATCGCTCGAGACTTCCTCGCGATTCATGCAGGACTCACGCTTCAGCAACCCGCCTGCTCGACCTAGCCTCCTGGGCCCGCGTTACCCGCCCATTAGGGTCTACCCGCCTGATCTGCCCGTCTGGTTCTGCCACGTGTTTTCTGCTCCTGGCCCCCCTCCTGCTACTGTCTCTCGTGTTCCATCCTTCTCCCTCCTCCTTGTCCATTTCTTCCATCCGTCCTCACTTCCCTTGCTTAAGGGAGTGCACCGAATACGCGTGGCAGGTAAAGAAGATATACCCCAAGGGGGTACAATTGAAGTCCGAGGAGGCGTGTATCGAGGGATTTGGATGTACGTGTTGGATGGTAAGCGAGCAGATAAGAGTGAATAGCCTTCAAGTGTTGTTGTTTGGGTGGTTGTTGTTGTTGTTGTTGTTGTCGTTGTTGTTGTTATTGTTGTTGTCGTCGTTGTTGTTGTGGTTGTTGTGGTTGTTGTGGTGGTTGTTGTTGTTGTTGCTGCTGCTGCTGCTGTTGTTGTTGTTGTTGTTGTTGTTGTTGTTGTTGTTGTTGTTGTTGTTGTTGTTGTTGTTGTTGTTGTTGATGATTTTTCATTTTCGAGAATATTGCCAAGGCCTTACGGCCAGTGCCGCCGACCCTGGATACCTCGGCCCTCGAGGGTGACGGGATGCGTGATACGACGTCGGAGGTAAATGAAGACGTGGCGGAGGAGGAGGCGGAAGAGGAGGAGGAGGAGGAGGAGGAGGAGGAGGAAGGAGGAGGAGGAGGAGGAGGAGGAGGAGGACGGGGAGGAGGATGAGGAGGAGGAAGGGGAGGAGGAGGGGGAGGAGGAGGAGGGAGGAGCAGGGGGAGGAGGAGGAGGAGGAGGAGGAGGAGGAGGAGGAGGAGGAGGAGGACGAGGGGAGGAGAAGGGGAGGAGAGGAGAGAGGAGGAAGGAGGAGGAGAAGAGGGGGGGATGAGGAGGAGGGGAGGAGGGGGGGAGGAGGAGGAGGAGGAGGAGGAGGAGGAGGAAGGAGGAGGAGGAGGAGATGAGAGAGAGGAGGGGGGGAGGAGGAGGAGGAGGAGGAGAGGAGGAGAGGAGAAGGAGGAGGAGGAGGAGGAGGAGGAGGAGGAGGAGGAGGAGGAGGAGGAGGAGGAGAGGAGGAGGAGGGGGAGGGGGAGGGGGAGGGGGGAGAGGGAGGGAGAGGGTCGCCCGGGGGGATGCGTATCTGCCCCCCCCCCTCCCCCCGGTGGGGAGGGTAGGGAGGGGCTTCGCCACGACTACGATTTCCTTCTGGTTCGTGTTCGATTTCCTTTTATTTCTGGCGACGACGATGACGACGACGACGACGACGGCGGTGATCCACGCAAGACGACGACACCGGGATGCGTCTTCCACACTCGGACAGGGTCGGCGGATTTTTTGTTCATCCCCCCCACCGGTGCACATGGTGTTTTTCAATCGACATGCTCTTCCTGGGGCTCGCACCTTGTTTTTTATCAGAGGAAGTCTTCGTGCTCAAACTGGGCCCCTGGCCCCCGTGTTACAACAACAACGGCTCCCGCTTGAAACCACCCCACAATTTATTCAAAAACCGCGCTCTGTCGCTGGACTTTTTCACAATTAATGCAGGAATCGCGCTCTCGCGCGGGACTCCCTTGCAATGTATTCATACAAGCCGCGCCCTCGACGCTCTGGAATCGCGCTCTCGCTCTGGCCTTTTCCATGTTTTCCTTGGTAATCGCGCTGTCGCTCGAGACCTCCTCGTGATTTCATGCAGGACTCATGCTTCAGCAACCCGCCTGCACCTGGCCGC